CATCCATGTGACCAACAATGGGGCTCTATTGGGAACAAGAGAAGAAGGGAAGGCAGAAGAGAGAAAAAAGAGGAAGCAGAGAAATAAGTGAGGGAACTTCACATATCCTTTACATCCGATGCATGGTAGTGGGTGTGAAGTACCAGGATTTCAGAGAGCTTTAGGCCAGAAGGATGAAAATTCCCGTAAGCTGAGGGGGCACTCTGGCACTGAACTACACTCTAGCTTTTCTCTGTCTTACCATGCATCTAGAGAGAGGACCAGTGGTCTGAGTTGGTGTTTTTCACACTCCAGTGGGCACACAGACATCAGGGGAGCCTGTTAAAACACAAGTTCTGATTTGGCAGAGCTGGTGTGCTAAGAACAGTCTGCTTTTCCAGCAGTTTCCCAAGGGATGCTGATAGGGCTGGTCTGAAGCACACTGAGCACTCGGGAGCCACTTAGTGTAGATGAATAGTACAAGAGTGACCCACACAGTGCCTGTGGACCGGTACTTTACACTAAAGAGCATCTCTTGAGGTTTACCGAACCACTCACAGCTCAGAGGTGCATTAATTTAGGTGTGGAAAGAACTTTTGCCTTGAGTATTAAATTCAAATCTCATATTCATGGTTCACTATCTGGGTGAACAGCTTATTTCACCTTATTTTGAGTCTCAGTTTTTAGTCTTCATCATAGATAGAACATCTACATCAATCAGATTAACAAGAGAGAAAAATGCATTTAAGGGAACTAGCATAGCTTTTGATACAGAATAGATGCTCTGAAACTTGTTAACTGTTACAATTGATGCCGTGGATCCCTTCATCATAGATAGAACATCTACATCAATCAGATTAACAAGAGAGAAAAATGCATTTAGGGGAACTAGCATAGCTTTTGATACAGAATAGATGCTCTGAAACTTGTTAACTGTGATGCCGTGGATCCCCGTTTGTTGGAAGATCCCAGCAGAGATTGACTAATATGCCTCTCTGCTGTCTTGCCATGCACCAAATAGAGAGGACCAGTGGTCAGTTCTGCATCCTAGACAATTTGCTTCTTTGCAGCCGATGCAAGGCTATGGTTACTTAAGAAATTATCTTCACCTACTGAAAAATCATGTCCCTGCACAATGAAGTTCTGCAGTAACTTAGATGTAGGCCTGATAAAATGTGACTAATGGTCAGGTGTTGGTGGCGCACGCCTTTAATCCCAGCACTCGGGAGGCAGAGGCAGGTGGATCTCTGTGAGTTCAAGGCCAACCTGGTCTACAGAGTGAGTTCCAGGACAATCTCCAAAGCTTCAGAGAAACCCTATCTCAAAAAACCAAAACAAAAAAAAAAACAAAAACAAAAAACAAAAACCTGTGACTAATGATTCTCTCATTGAAGCAAATATTTGTTGAGTACTTGTTATTCTAAGAGGCAAATAGTTCTGAACTGTAGTGACTCCCTGCAGAGATCTTATTTCATATCTTAGGTCTTTGGGGTTCACTGACCTCTTTGCCTCCTTTGCTCCTTCACCTCTTGGACATCAAGCTGGGCTAATGCCTAATGCCTTGTCAGTGCTCTGTCCATCCCCTTGTAGTACTCTATGCATCCCCCCCCCCAGGAAGCAAGTTTGTGTGCAAGTGTGTGTGTGGGGAGTCAGAAGCTGATGTTGAGATGCCTTCCTCTGTAACTCTATGTGTTATTTTTTGAGACAAGCTCTCTCATTGAACCTGGAGTTTTGGTAGGCTGTCTGGCCAGTGAGCTCCTATGATTTTCCTGTCGCCTGTCTTCATGCCAGCGCTAGAGTTATAAGTGTGCACCACCACTCTGCCCAGTTTTTTTTTATGTGAGTGTTCAGGATCCAACTTGTATTTGTACCAGCAGCTGATCCACTGCCATCATCTCCCTAGACCTCCTGCAAACTGTATAAAGGTATGAGATCTTTGTAGTCCCATGGGTTGCACTCAAATGATTAGTGAGCCAATTGAATGGCACACAGAGTCCTCAGGGAGTCTGAGGTATGTGAGAGGATCAGGGAAGGTTCTATTGAAAAAGTAACGCTTGAGTTGAGACTAAAAAAAAAAACCCAACATTAACAGGCAGAGGGAGGTGCAATGGTGAGGAAGCATGATGCATTTGGGGGGAAATGTGTGCGGTTTGGACAGACTGAGGCATGACAGGGACATGGAGGAGTAGGGGGTGATCACACAAATCATCACAAATGCCACAAGGTCTACTCCCATTGCATGGCCAAAGCACCTAGTGAGGCCTACTACAGGATAGCCAAGAAATGGGATTTATCTTAAGGATAACAGGAGAACAATGAAGAACTTTAAGCAGGAATGCTTAGAGGATGAATTAAAGGTGGCTGATAATTATATATAGGCAAGTTAAGCCAGGTGTGGTGGCACAGGCCCATAATCCCAGCACTTGGAAGGCAAAGGATCTCTGAAGTTCTAGGACAACCTGGTCCACTCCAGCCAGGAATGCATCGTGAGGCATTAGTGTCTCAAAAAAATTAAGTGAGAAAGATACAGGGAAAATGATTAGGAGTTTTGTGTGTTTTGTTTTGAAACAGGAGCCAATGTATCCCAGGCTAGCCTCAAGCTGGCTACATCTCCCAAAAGCTAGTATTACAGGTGTGTATCCCCCCCAATTAGGAGTTTTGCCACCTCAGTGTTACTCTTCATGCTCTTTTTGCTCTTAACTTGTTTCCATTAAACCACAGCATTCATTGCAGAGATGCCCTTTGCCCAGCTGCCTCAGGTAGGACCTTGGAACATTATGTATCAGCTACTTTCTGAAGACGGGTGTCTGACTCAGGTTGTTGTGCAGTGAGCTGGATAGCAAGGGGCCTTTGTAAGCATGGGCAGTGTTTACTGGATTTTAGAACTGGACATGCTGTGTCCTAGTTCTGGGGACACTGGGGAACTTATGTCACTTCTCCAAATCTTATCCATAAAATGGAAATAGCATTGCTTTATGGTCATGGTAGTTTGACTGTCATTAGCTCCATAAGCTCATAGGGAGTGGCACTATTAGGAGGTGTGGCTTTTTGGAGCAGGTATGACCTTATTAGAAGAAGTGTGTCACTGTGGATGCAGGCTTTGAGTTCTCATGTATGCTCAAGCCATCCCCAGTGTTTCAGACCACTTCCTGTTGCCTGTGGGATCAAGATGTAGCTCCTTCTCCACTCTCAGCTCCTCTCCCACACCATGTCTGCCTGCATGCCACCATGTCCTGCCATGATAATAATGGACTAAACCTCTGACACTGTAAGCCTCCCAATTAAATGTTTTTCTTTATAAGATTTGCCGTGGTCACTGTCTCTTCACAGCAATAGAAATCCTAAGACAATGGTTGTATGTATATGTATATATATTTTATATGTATTTATATATAGTATACATAATACATAAAATATATATTATATATATTTGAGAATAAAATTAGGTGATATTGGTAACAATAATAATGGCTAGGATTTGCATTGGCTGGCTCAGTGGGCAAACCTACTTGCTGCCGAATCTAACATCCTAAGTTCAGTCCCCAAGATTCACAAGGTGGAAGGAGAGAACCAACTCTTGCCAGTTACCTTTTGACCTCCACATTTGCCACCATGTAATGTGCACAAGCACACTCACACAAAATAAATGAAATGTAAAAACAATCAACCCTTTGGTAAGCATCAGTTTTGTGTAATTCTAGATACATTCATTGAGTCTTTAAACCAGAATTAGTAATTAAAATAGAACACAAGAACTAGGACTGGAGATATTGCTCAAGGGTAGACCACTTGCCAGCACACACCAGTCCTTAGGTTCAAGACACCAGAAATGATGTTTAGTTTGTTTGGGCTCTCAATAAATGCTATATTGCTCCTGCTGATTCCTGCTAGCCATTGCAGGTCCTATAGTTTACTGATGGATTATTGCATTAGCACTGTCTCCCAGTGGCAATTTCCAACAATCAACAGAGAAACTAACAAAGATTTTATTTGAGCCCCAGGAAGCAGCCAATAGGTAATTTCCAGCATCCTTTCACCAAGGAAGTTCTTGAGACTTAGACACCAGCCATACTTCAACCAAATTATAATTTAATATAATTAGCCCTTGAACTTAATTTTTAGGTTCAGGATCTGAGACTGTTACACAAATGAGACATCAGCCATCTGGACTGTGATATTGTTTGTGTGCTCTTCAGATAGCAATGTCTGTCTTCTGACTAGATGGGAACAATAAACACCAGAATACATGTCCTGTTTAATGGGAAATGAAATGTGTGGGGTTGTGTGCGGGTTGGAATGAGTTCCTCAATGTCTCAACCAAAAGCCTCCTAGGCTCCTGGTAGCACAGGCCCCGCCTTTATATGAAGGAAAATGCCTCTCAGTCCTCAGAGAGTCACTGTCCACTTTATGGTTTTCTTTTCCTTCTCTGCATCAGTCTTACGTAACCAGATCCTCTTTGACAATATAAAACACAGATTAAAACTAACTCTGTAGCAATCCTAGGATTATGGGCTCAGGAGGGTAAATCTTCTGTTGAGTGTGAGAGGACTGCACCCACATCTCGTTCCCAGGAAAGCAGCTGAGGGAGGCAGCACTGTGCTTGAGTCCTGGTTCATGTCTGGTTCCACAAGATCAATTAATAGGCGTGTCATTGTCCATTGTGCATAAAGTACATGAGGAACTGTGGCTGCAAAGCATGGTGGCCTGCTGGCAGCAGTGATTGTACCTGAATACTGGCTGGCATCCTGGACTCAGCCTTGATCCCTATCAGCAGAGCATGGAAAGTGGGAGTGTCTGTGTCTGCAGTGCTGAATAAATCAGAGATTACCTTATCCCTAGGTGTTAGCCCTAAAGCTAGACATTTGGGAATATGCCCTGGACCTGATCATGACCTCTTAAAGCCATTCTCTCCTTCCTGATATAGATTCTACCTCACTCCCTCATGCTGCCTTATAGGGACAGGGCAGGGGATAAGACTGATATGCCATCTTTCCTTTATCTCCCCACCTTTTATTTTCCAGCAACAGCTACAGGCCTATGTGGCCTGGGTGAATGCCCAGCTGAAGAAGAGGCCATCCGTGAAGCCTGTGCAGGACCTGCGACAGGATCTCCGAGATGGTGTGATCCTGGCCTATCTCATCGAGATCGTTGGTCAGTTGGCCTTGGACTCTGATGCTAGTATAGACGAGAACATGACCTCTTTCTCCTCCATGCTTCCTTCAGAGCAGGTTGTTCCTTCTTTAGAATACATGGTGCTGGAGTTGGGAAGACAGAAAATACTTGCCCAAGGTTAACTGATATACTGGTCAATAAACACTGTGTGCTAGGCACTGTATTATGTGGGGAGATGTTAGCCCTGGCAGTGCCCTCAAAGGTTTCCAGTCTAATTGAAAAGCCTGGGAAGTGAGGTCCATTTTATACTACTATACTTCGTATTCTGATGGGGATTAAAACAGAGAGATACCTTGCTTTAGTCCTAGGGGTTCAGGAATGGCGGACCAGAAGAATTCATGTCTAAATAGGGGAGGAGGGCTTCCAGAAGAACTGCTGTCTAAGTTAAAAACAGCAGTGGGAGGGCTGGAGAGGTGGCTCAGCAGTTGAGCATACAGGCTGCTCTTGCAGAGGACCTGGTTCAACTCCTGGCACCCATGGGGCAGCTCACGGCCATCTATAACTCCAGTGCCAGGGGAACCAACATTTTTTTTCTGCACAAATATACATACAGGCAACACACACACACACACACACACACAGAGAGAGAGAGAGAGAGAGAGAGAGAGAGAGAGAGAGAGAGAGAGAGAGAGAGAGAGAGAGAGAGAGCAAAACAAACAGATAAAAAACAGAAAAGGGAATAGATAGCATTCAGGACAAAAGAGAAAATGTCAGCATCAAAGGGACTCATGTGTTTTCACAGATGGGTTTTTTAATTTCAAGTCTTGTTCTTATTAGGGTCTTATATGTCCAAAGTGTTTGTCCATATCTCTGTTATGATTTCTCTCACTGGCTGACAGTTAGGCATGATATAGACTGAGCTATTGAAGAGAATGTTACTCTATACTTTGTTTTTATGGTTCCACAAACCCCAGCTAAATGCATGGAATATGTTCTCAAACATTTATTACTGTCAGTGGACATTGCTTGTTGTCCTGGAGGTAGGTTGTGTGGAAGAAGCTAGTTTGCAACAGACAGCCTATCTGCGAATGTTTTTTTTTTTTTTTTTGAGGCAGCTTACCATTGACCATTTGTAGTGAGCGTAGCAGTGGCAGGAGTAATTACTGCTGCTAGGATGGAATGCTTTCTATATTTTGGGGGTTTATTTGACCACCACACCCTTAGGAAACAGATATTACTATTTCCGTTTCCAGAAACAAAAGGGAAGATCTATAAAAATAAATTAATTAGTGGGTTCTTAATAAGTATGAGTAAAAAAGCGAAGTTTGTTATTTTGATTTCTTTGTGATGTGGGTTTGAATTCAAGTGGAGTATCCATAGTCCAAAATGCTTGGGACCAAAAATGTTTCAGATGTTGGAATATATATATATGTGTATACGCACACACACAAACAAACACACACACACATATAGAGAGAGAGAGCACTTACAACTAAGAATTATGAAAAATCCAAAATCTGAAAATATCCCAAGGCCAAATGGTGATGGTGCACACCTTTAATTCCAGCACTCAGGAGGCAGATGCAGGTGGCTCTCTGTGAATTCGAGGTCAGCCTGGACTACAGAGCAAGGCTCCAAAGCTACACAGAGAAACACTGTCTTGAAAAACAAAACAAAAAAAGAAAGAAAGAAAATTCCCCTGAATTAGGATTTTTTTTGGAACACTAGTATGCTGCTTAAAACATTCCAGAATTTTGGGTTGGAGAGCTGGTTCAGCAGTTAAGATCACTGGCTACTCTTCAAAGGACCTGACTTTGAGTCCTCTGGAATTCAACGTGGTAACTCAACCAACCATCTATAACTCCATTTCCAGGGAATCTGATGCCCTCTTCTGGCCTCCCTGGGTATCAGGTACTTACATACACTCATATACATAAAATAATAATGTTTCAGATTTTGGAGCATTTGTGAGTTCAAAGTTTTAGATTACGGAAGATAAACCTGTACTATTTTACTGATGAGGTTTACAAGGTTCCGTAACTTCACAAGTTCATATAAATTTAAATATCTAATTAAAGGTGCAGATCTAGATTTGTTTTAATTGCAGTCCTGGCTAGAGAAATGGCTCAGCTATTAAGAGTGTATACACTGCTTTTGCAGAGGACCTGAGTTTGGTTCCCACCACCCAAGTAGGGTAGCTCACAGTCTTCTTTAATTCCAGATCCAGATCATCCCTCTTCTGGATTCCAAGGTCATCTGCACTTGTATGTGCGCGCACGCGCGCGCGCGCGTGCACACACACACACACACACACACACACACACACACATAAATCCTGAAGTCCATTTTAAGCATCTCCCCTTATTTAAATAGGTTACATGTAGACTAGCAGGAAATTTAGGTGCAAAAGGATTAAAAACAAACGCTCTTCATCTACCTGTCTTTCTTCAACAGTCAAGTTGCAGCCACATCCAGAGGGGAGAACAGTGAATGCCGGTGCTCTTGGCTCACTTTCTCCTTTCCTTGTGTCCAGGATCCAAGCCCAGGGAATGGTGCCGCCCATTTTTAGGGGTTCTTTCCACCTCAATTAACTTAATCAAAACAGCCTCTCAGACATGGACAGAGAGGCTAACCCAACATAAACGCTTCTCAATGGAGAGACTTGTCCCCTAGGTGGTTCTGTACCCTGTAAAGTTGATAATTGGTGTTAGCCATAAGTTAACCATCCTTTGTTCTGGAGGTAGCCAGTATTGTTTCCAGGGATGTTCTATGAACCTGGAAGGCAATAATGATATGTTTTTATTTTCCCAAGATCCAGGTTTTAAACAATCTGTGTGTGTGTGCATGTGAGTGCCCGCACTCACACACACAGATGCAAGTTTCTGGAAATTGATCTTGAACATGCTAGGCAAGGCTCTATAACTAAGGTATATCCCCAGCCTAAAATAACCTCAAGGGAACTGAGAAGATGGTTCAGTGATGTGTCATGTACAAGCATAAGGGTTGGAGTTTGACTCCCTAGTACCCACCCATGTTTAAAAAGCCATGCTTGTTCACAAGTGTACCTATAACTCTAGTGTTGTGAGGGGTGGAGACAGGAGGATCACTGGAGAGTGCTGACTGCCACCCTAGCTCCAGGTTCAGGAAAAACAAAATAAATAAAAACCTGTTTCAAGGGAATGATGTAGTGACAGAGCAAGATACCTGCTTTTTCCATAGGTGCAGTCATGCACACATGTATGCATACCACACACCTCATATACACTCATATGTACATAACAGAAAAGAGATAACCTCACAGTCTCTCCATAATTTTGTATATTTATCCTTCAGCTTTTTCTTGAGTTCTAGACATGCATATACGGTGTCCTGTTCACCATTGTTGTTTGAATGTCTTATGGGCAGCTAACCAGAACTTTGTATTTCCTTGCCCATACCGTGACCTTTACCCTCCCTGTCCATCCCCACCTTTGTCTTTGTCAAGGAACACTTCATGTCATTCTCTCATTTGTCAGGCAGAACTCTTAAGAGTCATTCCTTAACAGTCAGGCCTTAACATGTACCTTCTGCTTTGTATTCAAAATATACTCAGGGTCTGACTTCTGGCCAGCCATTCCCTTCCACTTTAACCCTTGCCATCCTTGTCTCTTGCCTTGAATAGTTTGACTATCTTTCTGACTAATCTCTCTGTTTCATCCCCCTCATGATCTACACACAGTCCACTCTGGAAAACACAAACTAGATAATGTAACTGCCCTGTCTGAAAGTCCCCACCGGCTTTTTACTATCCTGAGAATAAAATTCAGGGACTGTTCCTGTGGTCCCCAAAGTCCCGTGTAACTGGCCTTGCTTATCTTGGTGGCCTTTCCTGAGTCTTGACTCTGATAACTCCACTGTAGCCACACTGGTCTTTTCCATCTGAGACAGGGCCTCATGTAGCCCAGGCTGGTCAAGAACTTGCTATGCAGCCATGGGTAACTTCAATTAACCTGATTTGGTTCCTGATCCCCCTGCCTCAGCCTTCCAACTGCTGAGGTCACAGGCAATTTACTACATGCCTAGCTAGCCACACTGATGGCTTTTCCTCTAACATAGGCTGAGCTAATCTACCGTGTTGGAGTTTGTCTGTATGGCTCTTCAGCATGGCATATACCCTTCTGTCTTAGTTAGGGTTTCTATTGCTGTGAAGAAACACTATGACCACAGCAACTCTTATAAGGAAAAACTTTAATTGTGATGGCTCATGTACATTTCAAAGGTTTAGTCCATTATCATTATGACAGAGAGCAAGGCAGCGTGCAAGCAGACCTGGTGCTGGAGAACACACTGAGAGTTCTTACATCTAGACTCATAGGCAACAAGAAGTGGTCTGAGAACCTGGGTGTGGCTTGAGCACATATGAGACCTCAAAGCCTTTCTCCACAGTGACGTACTTGCTCCAACGAGGCCATAACTACTCCAACAATACCACACCTCCTAATAGTGTCACTCAGGTTGGGGGCCATTTTCTTTCAAACAACCATACCTTCTTAAATATAAAAGTCTGTTATTCAGACTTTTCAAGACTATATTATCAGAAAGACCATGATCATTATTCTTTTCTGTCTTTATCCTTGCCCAAAATTATATTAAACATTGACTTATTATAGTATAGATATAAACTAGGAGGGAAGGCACATTGTTTACCTTGTTCCCTGCTCTCTGTAATACCCAGTATAGTGTTTGGCACACAGTGGCTACTTATGAATATGTGTTGAATTAATAAATGTACACACAATAACTTCACAGAGCTGGGCAGTGGTGGCACACACCTCTAATCCCAGTACTCGGGAGGCAGAGGCAGGTAGATCTCTGTGAGTTTGAGGCCAGCCTGGTCTACAGAGCAAGTTCCGGGACAGGCTCCAAAGCTACACAGAGAAACACTGTCACAAAAACAAAATTAATAACTGTTGGTTTACATTTGAAAGACCAAAGTGTTCTAGAAGTCTTTCATTTTTCTCTTCTCCAACCACTGCCCCTGGTCCACACACCAGGGCTTCACTCACTTGTTCATGGGGAATTTTAGTGTTTGCATCCCCTCCCTTGTGCCTTGCTGCTGTGACACCTTGATATTGTTCTTACTTATGACGTTATGTGTTGTTGCTTTTCCCCCCTCTCCTAACAGCAGGAGAAAAACTGAGTGGAGTCCAGTTGAGTCCCAGTAACCAACAAGAAATGAAGAATAATGTGGAGAGAGTGCTACAGTTTGTAGCTTCCAAAAAGATCCGTATGCATCAGACTTCAGCTAAAGGTTAGTTAGTACCTTCTCCTTGGGGAAAGAAATGCAGTTCTTACCAGTGCTAACCAGTATGAGAAGCTCCCTTGGCCATGTGTCAGTGGGTCTGAGCAGAGTGGAATAGAATTAGGCCCATGGTCTTATATCCTTGTTTCATGAAGACAGGTACCCTCTTGGAAGACAGTGATGGAGTACTAAAATCCCAGTGCTCCAGAGACCTGGCTGGAAGTAGCAGCTCTCTATTAATTTGAATGGAATATAGATATGCTTGAGTGTGTGTGTGTGGGAGAAATAATGGTACAAGAATAAATGACAAAATTGAGATATTAATTTTGGAATGTCTCGTTTAAATTTTCAAAGATGAAGATGGATTGCATTCTTGAGATCTTTGGGTTTTATGATCAAGTACTATTACAAACCATCATAACTTATGCTTTTTCATTCAATTTCCTAGAAGAAACTCTCATTTCTTCTATTTTTCTTTCCTTTCTTCCTTTCCTTTATTTTCTGAGACAGGATCTTATGTAGCCCAGGCTGGTCTTGAAACTGCCATGCAGCCAAGGACGACCTGATCCTCTAATCACCTCCTCAGTGATCAAATTACAAAACTGCACTGTCACCCAGCTCTCTGTGGTGTTGGGGACTGACCCCAGGGCTTTGTATGCTAGGCAAGCACTGGATCAACTGAGACACAACTCTAACACTGCCCAGCCACAATATATGTATTTTTGAGAGAGGGTCTCACTGTGTAGCCCTGGCTGGCCTGGAATTTTCTGTATCTTAGGCTTTCCTCAAATTAGGTGTTTCTCCTGCCTCTGTGTATTAAGTTATAGGATCAGGATCAGAGATGTGTACCACACTCAGCTTAAAAGAAAAATATTTTATAGCACTTCTTTTTTTGGCTGTGAGAATATTCCAGACAGACAAAAGGGGCCCTGCAGCTTTATATGTGGTCTTCTGTAGCAACATAACCCTTAGCCCAGACTGTAAGGAAGGAGCCATGTAGGGGTCCTTTGAAAGCATAGGCTCCCTTCTCCTTTTGATGCTTTTCTAGAAGTGACTAGAACTGGTTCTGTTTCAGCACCAGCGTTTGGGTCTGTTGCCTGTAGTTTTGCTGAGAATGAGGGCTAGAGGGAACCCTTTCATGTTGGATTATTGGTGTTCTGTATGTTTGAAGTTACTCAGGTGAGCAAATAGTGACCATTAAGAGCATTTGGTAGAAGATATCAAATAGTCCTTTGCATGCTTTGTACATTTGAAAGGCTATAAGGTCAAACAATGGAATTGTATTCATTTCTTTGCATTAACTTTAACCAGATCTTTCACAATGCATGTGTGCCCTCCTCGTGAGAGAGAGTGTGTGTGTGTGTGTGTGTGTGTGTGTGTGTGTGTGTGTGTGTGATTTCCTCTTTTTTTTCTAGGGCAGAATGTAGAATGCAGCGATAGCTTTGATCTGGTCCCCATGTGGAGTGGGCTTGGGGATCTGGCCCAGTAAAACGGGCTATTTTAAGGGAACACTGCCGTTCATTGTCTTTTGCTTGAAGAAGCTTGGTGTTTCCTAATCATTTTTACTGCATCCATTTCCCCCCTCCAGTCAGCTGTCCACATCACAGCTGGAGTGAACTAAGAGCACAAATCCTTGTTCTACTGCTGTGCATCTAGAAGTCACCTGGATAAACCTGGCCTCTTTCCTCTAGCCTACCTGTCCCAAATGACCCAACCTCTGATCCCTCCCTCCCTCCCTCCCTCAGCTTTCCCTTGTCCTGTTGAGCTCTGGGGCTCCAGCCATACTGAACTCTTTCACTTTCCCCACCACCGTGCTGAATCATATGTATAATGCATGCCACATAATACTTAAAAGATCCCCTAAAGCCACATTATAAGCAAGAAGGACTGAAAATAATTTTAATGCTATGTTTTATGTAACCCAGTATGTCCATAATATGATCATTTTACTATGGAGTAAACACTAAACATTACTGAGATATTTTACATTTTACTTTTATTTTTTATGTGTATAGGCATTTTGCCTGCATGTATATCTGTGCACTGTGTGTGGGCCTTGTGCTCTCAGAAGCCAGAGGAGGGCATCAGATCCCCTGGGACTTGAGTTACATATGGTTGTGAGCTGCTGTGTGGGTGCTGGGAATCAAATGGGGGTCCTCTGGAAGAGCAGTCAGTGCTCATCACCACTGAGCCCTCTCTCCAGCCCCACATTCTCTTTTTATGCTCTCTGAGATCTTTACATTTCCATGTGTGTGTAAGGTATTTACTTAATACTTAGAGTACTTGCTTAGAGCATACTACAATTCACAGTAGTGACATTTAAGTGCTTAGTAGCCTCCTGTGGCCTACAGCTCTCCTAACAGATGATATCACCCTATTATACTGATCTCTAGACCTTGGCATGTACCTTCTCTTGAACTGTCCTTGTCCCTTCTCCCCTATTAGCTAATAAAGCATCACCCACAATCTCAATGGAGGACTCACTCTAGTAATACATCTAAACTCTAAGATTATCTCCTCAAAAACTGCTGAAGACCCCTGTACCTCTCTCATTTAACCACTTTATCGTCATACTTTATTGTGATTGCCTTTAAACCTTCCGTGTCCCTTGTTGAACATGGCCTTATGAAAATGGAGACTGCCTGCCTAGTTTACTAGACCACCAGCGATATGTAGTAAATGCATCAGTCCACAGCCTCTGCCTCCCTCTTAGCACCTTCCCTTGTCTTGTCCTTTAGATATCGTGGAAGGAAACCTGAAGTCCATCATGAGGCTGGTCCTTGCCTTAGCAGCTCATTTTAAACCTGGCTCCAGCAGGACAGTGAGCCAGGGGCGTGACTGCAGAGCTCCTGTGCAGAGTCACCAACCACACTGTGCTACTGCTGTGGCCCAAGGAGCTGCGGCTGCTCTGGCTGATGTGTGCCATGACATGTCTCGCTCAGGACGGGATGTCTTCCGGTATAGACAGAGGTAAAAATCTGGGGAGGGGAGCTGGTTCCTCTCTTTGGTATTTCTTTGCTTAGATAACAGTGCAAGTAGGAGGAAATGTCAACTAAGGAGACCCACACTGCAGAAAAGAAAACAGAACAGAGTGGAGGTTCGGAAGAAGGTTTGGAAGGGAAGTCCTAATGAGAAAAGCTTGGCCTTTTTTTTTTTTTTTTTTTTTTGACAGTTCTGGCTAGTGAACCTAGAGCCTTTCACATGCCAAGCAAGAGCCCCACTACTATGCTATATCCTCAGACTTTTTATGTCTTGCTTTGAGCCAGGGTCTCATGAAGTTGCCCATTCTGGCCTTGAACTCACTCTGTAGGTCAGACAGGCCATGAACTTTGTGTTCCTACTGTCTTAGCTTTCCAAATAGCTGTGATTATAGGCCCACAGCTGCAAGCCAGGCTAACCCTTTTCTTTCGAGATGTTTATTTCACAGCTAGAATAATGTAAGGAACCACGTGTGCAAGTCTGTTCTCATGCCCAAAATTTAAATATATGTGGTTGGCACAGTGTGTTTTCTTCACTAGGAGACATGTAGTCCATCTGGAGGAGGCTGTATCCTGGAATGTATCCACAAGGCCAATCTGTCTTGAAATTTCATGGCAGGAAGTGTTTTGAGGGTCGTGTAGTTGCTAAAGGAGAACCCAACCCCAAGGTGTTGCAGAGATTGGCAAAATCACTTCTTTCGTATGTTTGCCTTCTCTTGTGGTTTTAAGTGCCTTAGAAGGAGTTTTACTTTGTTCACCTTTTAAGTGTGTGCGTGTGTGTGTGTGTGTGTGTGTGTGTGTGTGTGTGTGTGTGTGTGTGTGTGTGTGTGTAGAAAGGATCTTGCTGTCTACTGGTCTCAAACTCCTGATCCTCCTGCCTCTGCCTCCTGAGCGCTGGAATGACAGGTGTGTGCCAGGCTGCCCAGCTGCCTTCTGCGTCTTCTTTCCTGTAATGCACACTGAGTGGCCGGATGGTTCTACTTGCAGAGCTGACATAAACTGCAGGGCTGACACGGTCTCCTTTTCTGGTTCCCCACCCCCTTAGGAACAGCAGCCTGGATGAGGAGATTGAGAACCCATACTGGAGTGTCCGGGCACTTGTGCAGCAATACGAAGGGCAGCAACGGTCCCCGTCTGAGTCTAGCTGTTCCAGGTAATTGTGGCCTTACATTCCGTACCTTTAGAGTCTTGGTAGAAAACTTCTTGGGGATTCAAGTAGCAAGACCAAAAGCACTAAGTCACCCGTGGGGTTGAGCAACATATCCTGCTAGGTTTGTGTCTGGGGTAGCAAGGGAGTGAAGAACGAACAAACATTTAAAAAAATGACCCACAAACACCAAAAAGTTGGGGTTAGGTGGGATGTGCATACTTCAGTGTATTTATTAGGTGCCACAGAGGGGGAGGAGCTAGCTAGTCTTGATAGATCTCTAAGTGAGCAGTCTGAGGCTATATTCATCCAACGTCCAGGAGTTGCTGGTTTTTGCACACACTGGTCAATAATTTGCAAACTTGCACACTGTCAACATTTGCATTCAGACCTGAGGAAGCCTTTACCAGTTCTGAGCCTGACCACTCTGAGGAAAGCTTTGCTGATTTTCCATAGGTCTGAGGCATTGGTCCTTGACATGACAGTGCCCATGCCGGTAGTACTTTCATCCAGGTCTTCATCTGGTCTTTACATATTCACTCATGGCTTCTTCAGCTCCCCACAGTTGGGTGTGTGTGTAGCTTCTTGCAAGGGTCCTTGTCTTGCCAGAGGCCCTGGATTCACCCCTAGTATTGAAAAACAAAAAGCCCCTAACCTGTTTTACTTTCCTCAGTTCATGTTTGGTATTCAAGGACCAGCTCTCAGCAAGGCCTGTCTGGCTTGGTGTTGATAGGAGCTAATGAATTTCCCCCACACAGAAACTGCAGCATCCCAGTGACAATAGTTAGCTTTGGCCACATGGGGGTGTGACTGGGTCCTTCAGTCTAGTCCAGCCCAGTGTTTGTGCATCCGATGCTGGTGTTTATGATAGCCAGTTCCTGGGGCCCTGTCCTGCAGGCTGAGTCTGATTCTTCAGTTACAGCCACAGAAGGCTGGAGAAAGCTCCCAGCAAGAAAGGAAATTGTGCAGGACTGTTTGACGCATGAGCATTTCCACGTTCATTTATAGGACTGTGAATTGGGGCACATTAGTATGCATTTAAGTGGGCTATAGGTGTTTGTGACTCGTAAAGAGGCTGTCTGCTTCCCTTAGAGCAGTGCAGGGGCCAGAGCCGGACACTGCTCTAATAAAAGCCTAACCAATGCCAAGTATAGTGGCAGAAAAAGAGTAGTTTTCTGGCTCATGGAGAGTATGCCCCTGTAAACACATCCCCAGCCTACTTGCTAACTTGATTTTGTTGCTAAATTGTAATGAGCATATCCTCTAATGATCTTTTCCCTCCTACTCCAACCCAGCATAGTCTGATCTATTTAAATTTAATTGTGCCTTGTGTGTATTTTCCATGTTTCTTTCTTCCTCCTGTTTCTTTTCCTCATACAACCCCATCCTATTTTGACAGACCATTTCCTAAATTTATGGAAGTCCCGTGGACCTCTTTCTATCATCTTAATATACTGCTAACCTAGCTTAACTTTACAATGTTTACATATAATGGGTGTGGTTTCTATTTCTAAAATGGATCTACAACATACAATTCACCATTAAACATTTTAAGTGTTCGATGTAATACCTTTACAATTTTGTGTAAACCCTATCTCTATCCAGTTAGAAGACATTTTGACCAGACCCCAAAGAAGCTTTACCATGAAGCAGTAGGTGTGCATTTAATGAGACTCTAAACCATTGCATTTTTGCTTGTGCCTGGGACTATCTTTGGCTTAGGACAGAATCAAAGGCTGTTCTGTTGTATAATGAGGTCTATTGCTTCCTGCATCTCTGCTGGCCTCTGGCTCTCCTGAGCCTGACTGTGCCTGAGAATTAGGAGGAGAAGGGAAAAGAGTTGGAGTCTCCTATGGCTGCTTCCTTCCTCCAGGCAAGACTTGGACTGTGCAGCTGTGAGATCAGTATGGGGGACCCACTAGATACCAGGCTGTGTTAGGCTAATGGCAACAGGTAGATGTGTCAATGATTACATTTCCCTATCTGTTTTCTCTCCTTCCTGATTTTGCCATGTTCTTCATGGTAGTCAGCACTCTGCCTATTTCTTCACTGACCCCTCAGGAAAGGAGAGGGCTTCTAGCAAGTTCTGCCATTTGCCCACTTCCATTTGGGCACCTATCGACCCTGTGACCGCTGGAAGAACCTGGAGTCTTGGAGCTGTTGCAGCTTTGGGTGGGATATAGCTGCGAATATAAGATAGACATCCTGTGGTGTCTTCCCTTGCTGCTTCCCCAGCTGCTTCTCAAGGGTGCCCTAGCAAAGCTCTACCCTCCTGTTGCTCCAGTAAACAGGCCAGACTCTCAATGTAGGGGGTCGGGGGTCGGACATAGGAACCGCCAGAGGGGAAGGGAAGTGAGAGTAGCAGAGAGGAGGGCATTCTGCAGGTTTGCTGGTGGGAGCGGGAGGGGGGCACCAGTCTCAATCCTGACAGCGTTTCCCAATATACAGAAAGCGGGGTTGAGCTCCTCAGGCTTAGATCAGTCTTAAATCGTGTGTCCTAGGAGGGGAGGGGTCAAAGAGGTGTGGCTACTATGTCTTTGCTGCTGTGCTTCTCGGCACCAGGACCATCAGATCCATGCCGTTCTGCCACCGCGCTGCCCATCCCCCACCACTCCCAGGACTCTGGTCCCCCTCTGCCCAGCCAGTTCCGGACCGCGCCCTTGGCCCCAGCCTTGGCCAGCACCCCTACCTTTCTGCCCAGAGCCGTCGGCAACGCTTGGGTCAAGCTCAGCGCTGCCTGGCCGCGTGTGACAGCCTGGGGGTGGGGGTGGGGGGAGTAAGGAGAGACGGGAAGGGAGGGATCAGGAGGCGGCGCCGACTCAGGAGCACAGCACACCGGACTCCCACTCGACGCTCAGTGGGAGCCACCGGAGCCTCTCGCCCCGAGGGAAATGGGTTGAGATGCCGCTGCCTTGGGGAATGCTCGGAGCCGTGCGGCTGCAAGGACCGAGATGCAGCTGCCAGCGATCGGCCGCTGGCGATGGGAGGAGGCTTCCGCCGAGGCTCGGCTGCGGTGGAGTCTGAGCTTCAGGGACTGCGCGCTTCACCCCAGGGAGCATCCCGGTCTCTGGGGCCAGGACGCCCACCTCTGCCTTTCCTACTTTCTCCGGAGACCCCAGTAAATCGTTCCACGAGCTGGCTGATCTCTGGAGGCGTTCTTCAAGCCCCGGCGCGGGGGACATGGCAGACTTTAGGAGCGATGTGACTCTCAGCTTCCCACCTCACCCAGGGAAACAGGCTTGCTGAATCCCGAGCCAGGAGGGGACCATGGGAGGGACACAAGTCAAATGGTGAGAAGAAGCCACTTTGGCTCTTGAGGTGTGGATATGAGGGGAAGCAGGTCCAGGACCGGGGGACATGGTTGGCTGGAGACGAGATGATTGGGGGTGCTATTCGGTGAGAACAGGCGGCTGGTCTGGAGTTAGCACTACAAAACAGAGTGGTTTTAGGAATTTGGAGCCTACTCCAGGGCATTCACGCCATGTGTCTGCTGAGACACTTGGAGGGTCAACTGGACTCTTCCTTTTCGTCTAGTATCCATTTAAAAAATGGATGTAAGTCTAATTTGGCAGTGTCTTTGTTGGGGTTTGCTGGTCTGATAAATGAATATCGGCGAGATATTAGATTAAGAAATGTATGGATAGGACTTATTTGTAATCAGCAGTTCTCTGACCTCAGAGAGGATTATGATGGTAAGTGGGTATTATTTGCTTGTCAAGTATGACTTTTAATCTAGTTAGGGAGGAGCCCAAGTCTTACAATTAATTAGCATGAAGATGCTTTTCTATGATTTGAGGCCGAGGATTTAAAGTGCCTTCCTCTTCTAGGAGGTCTTACTACTTTGACACATGCCCCAGGATTTTCCTCCCTCCAAGGCCTTGATCGTGGCCATTTAGTTTCCTGGTCTTACCTCGGTAGCCTTACCCTGGCAGTCTCGTTTCAAGAAAAAGAAATGTTGTTTTCCTTTGCCTCCTCTGCCACTCCCCCGGTAGGGTTGGATATCCAGACGTCCGCCTCCTTCTGCCCTTATATGGGAGGCAACTTACTTGGAGGGAAGAGGTGGAACTGAGCATGCGTCTGTGCTTTTAGGAAAGCCTTTTCTCAGCTTCACAGATCCTCATTACGCCCTCCTTCCTTCTGTCTCACACATCCCTGCGGTCCAGCCAGAAGCAGGCAGTGGAACCTGTTATCCATGAAACCTTAGCTGTGGAAGAGGGGCGGCTGACAAAGGTGCTGTGCACCGGATTCCCAATTCCGTAAACGGTGAATGCCGGGTCCTGAGCACTGGTGTATCTCTCCTTATCAGCGATACAACCCTTTTACATAAGAGCCTTCCCAGCTGTGAACTCGCGCTGGCCTGAAGGTCAGATTGCCTACTTAGTGAAAATGGCTAAGAGAGTTCCAGAAAACGCTCAGCATGTCTGAGCTACCCCTCACTTCTCTCACCGGCATGATCGGTACACCTCCAGCTGTGGGAAAGCAGCTTATAGGAAAGACAAGACATAGCACTGAGATCATTTGGACCCTGGGGAGACACTAGTGCACAGGTTTTGAAGTCTGGCTGCTTCCACTGCACTTGTTTCTAGTTTTTTCTCTGGTTTGTGGGAAGAGGAAATGTTAACTCCTGCTTGTGGTTGTAAGGATTAGCCTGAGAGACTTCAGGGGCACATTAAGGGGGTCAGCGAATCCCAGGCACTTTCACTGTTGTCTGGGTGATAGATTTGGAAAGAATTCTTCAGAGGGGGCTGAGCCGGAGTAGCCATAGCCCCTGAGACTCTGTTAGTGCTGATGTTCTCATAGTGCAGCCTGAAGAGAAAGGGCTCTCCAGAATCCTCCGAACCTACGGGATAGACGCATTATCCTCATGTTCCCATCTTGTCTTGTCCAGGGGAAGATTTAAAAGCTGCTTCCCTGAAAATCTGAACACTTCCTCTCAAAACTACATTAGAACTCAGGGCTCATTGAAAGGTGTCTCAAGATAATTTGAAAATATAAAAATTATGACAAATTATAATAAAAATAATAAAATTATTAAGTAAGAGCTAATCAAGTAAACTTTGATCTAGCTGCCACTAGCGTGTTTTTCTCCTTTCGTCCCATAACTCTTCTTATTGTTTTAAAGATTTATTTTATGTGCACGAGTGTTTTGTCTGCATTGTATGTCTGTGCACCACACGTATGCCTGGTGCCTGTGCAGGTCAGAAGAGGGGGTCAGATCCCTTGGAGCTGGAGTTACAGATTGTGAGCCACTATGTTAGTGCTGGACTGAACCTGGTCCTCTGCGAAAGCAGTAAGGACTCTTACCCAGTAAGCTACCTTCCCATCCCCACTGTTCTTATCATATTCTGGATCACTTATCATATTCTGGATTGATAAATGACTGGCTCTCTGCCCATCCTGGCACTGCAATCACACTAGCAGTTTCTAACCGTCCCCTGCCATGACTCCTCTTTCGGGATTAACTTAGAGCTGATCTCTGGTTGCTTGTGAGAGACTCAGATTATTGATAATATGATTTTGATCCAGTTCCAAAAGCTAACAAAAACCAACCATCACCCTCTGAACATGGGCCTAGGAAATTATAGTGATGAATACCACAAAGCAAACCAAAACCAAAAAACAACAACAGCAACAAAAAATCCCCCCCCACACAGAACAAAACAGTCATTTAAAAATGACTTATTGCCTATTCTGGTAACTCTCATTTCAGTCAACAGACACCCTGGAGTATTGGAGCGATGGCTCAGTGGTAAAAAGTGCTTCAGAGGCTCCAAGTTCAGTTCCCAGCACCCACCTAGAACAGTTCATAACCGCCTGTAACTCCAGGTCCATGAAACTAAACATCCTGTTCTGGTTTCGTGGGTACCTGCATTTACATGCACCCCCTCCCCCACACAGACATAGAACATTCACACAACTAAAATGTAAAATAAGTAAATAATATGAAAAATTAAAATACTCCCAAGACTAGTTTTTTTATTTATTCTTTCAATATTTATTGAATTTATCCAACAAATATTTGTTCTAACTGTGAGTTAGGTATCATGTTAGGCATGGTATGAATAAGATATCTCCGGGGTGAGTTGTGAAAGTTGACTTCTATGTAACTGTGCATAATTGTTTCTCTTCTCTTTTGTGTGATCACAGTCTGACTTCACCCAGTCCAGTCCACAGTGCAAAGAGTGAATCCATTATAACCCAGTCAGAAGAAAAGGCCGATTTTGTGATTGTTCCCTCTGAAGGAATAGAGAACAGAACAGACAGAACAGGTACCACCTGCCCGCCTGCCTGGGTTGCTTCAAGGGAAGGCTTTTAGCCTGAAGACTTCAGAGGTTCTGACTATCTACTTGGAGCTTTCTGGCTGTGTCTGTCTTCACAGTCTGTGCATGTAGGGTCAGGGTCAGCTCGAGAGGGCTCTAATGCCTTTGAGCCAATTAATGTAGTTATCCTCTTACAGAATGTCCTTTCTTGTACCGAGCTGTCAAAAAAGCTCACAGCAGCCTAGAGCAGCCCTCCCTTATCTGGCTGCCTATGAATTAGGAAATGACATTGGGGCAGTCAGAAGCCTTATTTGGGTAAATAGTTTTTTTATTATTCCTATTTTATGAAGATGGCTTTGGTTCTCCACTAACTTAGGTTGGATCCAGGAATACATAGCTTGCACTAAAATGCCCATGAGAATTTGTACCAAAGAACAGGTCTTGGTATGAGGGCTACAGAGAGGACCACAGAGTTCTCGTTTAAACTTTTGAATCTGCCTCATTTATCTTCTTTTTCTTCTCCCCCTACTTAAACATAAAAAGAAACATGGATAAGGCAAAGTACAAGTGTTAGGTTGATATACACTCATGCAAAAGGGTTGCAATGAAACTGAACCCCACAAAAGAAAATCTGAAATGAAATTCTTCTTTACTCTGCTTCCCCTCAAGCCAAGCATTTGTACCAGTCAGTCATAATCTGGGTGTGGTGGTGCACATCTGTAATCTCAGCCCTTAGGAGATGGAGACAGGTAGATCACACATTTGAGTCTGTTATAATCTGGGTGTGGTGGTGCACATCTGTAATCTCAGCCCTTGGGAGATGGAGATGGGGTAGATCACACATTTGAGTCTGTCATAACCTGGGTGTGGTGGTGTACATCTGTAATCTCAGCCCTTAGGAGGTGCAGATGGGTAGATCACACATTTGGGGCCAACTACACTACCTAGTGAATTCCAGGCCACCCATGGAGTCAGAAACTCTTGAGGGTGTGGAAAGAGGGGAGGGGCATTTATTGAGTACTTGCATTATTGGATACTACTGGGTTCCTCATGTTTTACCTCTTGTAATTTTTACGGAAACTCAAAGGATTTGCTATGCACCTCTCGGAAGTAAAGAAGCTCGGTCAAAGTTTACACCCACCTGCGCTCCATAATGCACATTGAATGGTGATGCATGCAACTAGTATAAAGCAGACGAGGATGCGGGAGCAAAGAGGTCTTAAAGGCTAGGAAATACACTGGAGAGTAACGTTAAGACTGTGAGTGCACTTTACTAATTTTATTTCAGGATGACTCACAGGATGTTGTGTGGAGAAGGTTCAGTTACAGCTCAGAGGGGTGAAAGGAATATGTTTGCCTTAGTTAGGGTTTCTGTTGCTACGATAAAAACAAAACACCACTACCAAAATTGACTTACAGAGGAAAGAGTTGATTTGGCTTAGCGGTTACAGTGCATTATGGGAAGAAGCCAAGGTAGGAGCTCAGGGCCTTGAGGCAGGAACTGAAGCAGATACCATGGAGATACATGGCCGCCTGGCTTGCTCAGTTGGTTTCCTTTTACATCCCAGGACCAACTGCCCAGGCGTAGCCCCACCCCACAGTGGCCTGGGCCCTCTCACACTAATCATTAATTAGGAAACGCCCTACAGATTTACCTACAGGCAGTCTGATAAAGGTGTTTTCTCATTTGTGGCTCCTCTCCCCAGCTGTGTCTAGGTTTGTGTCAAGTCAGCAAACACCAACCAGCATAGGGTTGGCTGAACCACAGGCTCCTGTCCAAAGCTCAAGGCACCAAAAGGGATTTTGTTCTCATTTGCATCTGACAATTCCTTTACTTGTACATCTGCCTCTGGGAATGTCAATTCCAAGGAGCTGGGAGTAAGGTCTTGGTGTGCCATAACAAGTCTGCAGGGGCACGAACCCTGCTACTTCCCAGGGTAAGGTTTAAGAGGGCGGACTTCCCTAACCCAGCTTGTGTTTTCCCGAGCCTGGTACCCCAGTTAACAGCCAGTTCTCTGTGTCTCACAACCCCACCTAGTGGAGAGTCCAGTTTGTCTGTGCCGACAGGTTCAGAAAGCAGGTGACCTGAACCTGTGGAGTACACTGAGCCCCGCGGCTGCCTGCCGGAACACCCTCTTCTTCAACATGGACTATCCTCCCACCTTTCATTTCGCAGACGAGACAGACTCTCCATTATCCCAAGACTGGAGGCCGGGGAGCCCGGGAACGTACCTGGAAACCACATGGGAAGAGCAGCTATTGGAGCAACAAGAACATTTAGAAAGAGAAATGGAGGAAGCAAAGAAAATGATTTCTGGACTGCAGGTAGCTCTTCCCTTTGCAGCTAATTATTCCTTTTAAGTTGGTGGTATCAATTGGCAAAGAAAAAAAACCCACCTGATTTTAGCTGTGTGTGAGTAGTACACAGAGAACGAAAATTCCTTATTTGTGAATGTTTTAGGTGGACTTTGGAACTCTTGTTTACAGTCCAGCTGTTAGGATTTGTGCTAGCTCGGGAGCTCTGACTGACCCCTGTTTTGTAAGTCGGTAGGTGTCTTTTATACTCTTATAGACCTGCAACTGCAACTTTCAGGAATTCAGCAGCAGAAAGGTACGAGAGGCAGTAATGCCACCAGGTTTCCATTGCATCTAGCTGAGGGACTCGGCTCCCTCCTCACGCATCAGCAACCGATGCCAAGGCAAGTGCTGTGCTAGCAGAGGTTTTCCTTGAACAACACAGCCCTTCAGTTGTTCCTATACCTGTGCTACCCACCGAGGGAATCTCCCCCAGAGCCCACCACATGACCCCCTCCATCCTCTGTCCTTATTCGATTGACACTGCCTGGAGGAGCCCTCGTAGTGTGCTGAAGGCCCTGAAATCGTCTAGGAATATTCCATTCTGTTTGTGCTGGGAACTGCACCAGTTTTGAATTGTGAAATATTTATGGACACATAAACAAAGCGCACATTATGCATGAGGCTCTGGCAGGCTGTGGAGGGCGTGCTCCCAGCCAGCCTGCAGCAGGGTGGGGACACAAAAGGTTCCTAAAGAAAAAAGAAGATGGGTGCTTCGGTGAAACAGTTTGCATAATGTATGCCCTAGGAACCCATACCGGTTGGAGGAATGTTTTCATCCTCCTAAACATTCCCCAAGAAATTTGTCGTGTTTGCTTTTTGCTCTGTATTAAGATAATTCTTTAAAAAAAAAAACTGTTGGATTCCTTTCTGCCACTCCAGTAAGGAATATCTTAATGATTTGCTCTTGTTTTAATAGGAAGTGTTCTATGAATTTGGGGGACTTTACCTAGCCAGGTTTTTCCCTGGGCTAATTTGCATTGTGTAAACAAAGCATGGATAGCTATTAGGTTGGCTCTGTTTGATTTGCATTCCTTAGTCTGGAAGAAATGCAATGACTGATGAAACAGAAAAATGAAAAAAGAAAGTAAGGCAGAAAGGCAACATCCTAATATTTCCTTCGAACAGAGGAGTTTTAATTCACTGCCACGTGATGACAATGAGGATTCAGTCTCACTGAAGAGCACTGAAGGGCTCCCAGCATCCACTGGGCTCCTTAACTCTTTCAGTGATGAACAAGTTGTATGTCAGGTCACATCCAGGATTTGTGACTTATTAGTATGCCATAATTATAGACCACTGAACAATCTGACACTGGAGTTACAGTTTCTGCAATGTCCCGCAATGCCCTGCAATGTCCCCTGATGTCCTTGCCTCTGTAATTCCCTGCAGCCCTGGAGCCGTCTGCCTGCTCACCCATTCCTCTCACCATGACTCCATGGGAAAACCAAGTTCATTTGGCTTTCTCAAGCATTATTATTAGTGTTTAGTAGAGGAACCACTGGTGCGATTTTAAAACATTCTTCATCATCATGTATGATGAATTTGTGTTATAGCTATTGAAAGAGGTTTTATTTAACCTCTGAATCTGTCTTTCAAGTTGAAACAAAACTGTGACAAAATGAGGACAGAATTTCCCATCTTTAACTCACCTGATACATCTTGCAATACCTACCTGATCAGGCAGATCTCTAAATTTGAGGGTAGTATACTGGGATGCTGCTTTAAGAATAAGATTCTGGGCTGGAGAGATGGCTCAGTGGTTAAGAGCACTGGACACTGTGGCCGCTCTTCCAAAGGACCGAGGTTCAATTCCCAGCACCCACATGACAGTTCACAACTGTCTGTAACTCCAGTTCCTGGGGCTGTGGCATCCTCACACAGACATACATGCAGGCAAACCCCCAATGTACATTAAAGAAAAATAAGATTACAAGTCTGGCGAGATAGCTCAGTAGGCAGAAGCATGTGCTGTGAAGCCTGAGGATCTGAGTTCGATCCCTGGGACCCACATAGGGAAGGGGAGAACGGATTTGTGAAAGTTGTCCCCTGACTTTGCCATGTATCCGTGATTCACATGCACCCACACATAGACGCACAAATATGCACGACACAAAGATGGCTCAGCTGTTAAGTACAGAAGACGTGAGTTCATGTCCCAGTACCCAAGTCAGACAAGGACTGCAACTCCAAATCTAGACTATCCAACGCCCTCTTCCGGTATCCATGGACACTGAACTCATGTGCGCAAACGCACACCAAGACTTTAAAAGTAAAAGTAAATTTTATCAGAGCAAGGTGTTGCATGGAGGCAGAGGTAGATAAATCTCTGTGAGTTTGAGGCCCACCTGGGCTACATAGTGATTTCCAGACCAGCCAGGGCTGCATAGTAAGGTCCTATTGTAATCAATCAACCAATCAATAAATAATAAAAATAAATTTCAAAATAAGTAACATGTAAAAGGGAAGGAATGAGATTACAAACTCTAACTACCATGTTAGGTATGGGTTCTTGGGAGAGGCTGTGTACTAGGGCCCCAAAGCTGAGCTTCAGGGTGTATCTGCCCCCTTTGTACTCACTAATGCACTAATGAAAAACAGCCTGGAGTGGAAATGAGTGAGGCCATCTCTGGAAAGATTTTCTTTCTTCTATTCATGTTGCCTCAGGGGGTGAAATGCAGAATTATTAAAACAAACAAACAAAAAGCAAACCATCCCAAGGCCATGGTTTTCAATGTATTTCAAACAGTTCATTATAATATACATCTCTGAGCCAGGATAATGCCACACTGATTTTAGATCCCCTTTCAGCTGGTAGAGCTGTGTTTGGACAATCCCGAAGGGAAGACTTGTTAGTAGTTCTTCTGAGATAAAGAATCTTCAGAGCAGAGGGTCTGTGTGTATCCAGAAAGATGCAAGTGACCCATGGGGCTTGGGATGTAGCTCAGTTGGTACAGTGCCTTTGTAGTTTGCATGGGGTCCCAGGTTTGATCCTTATCACTTTGTAAACTAGGCATGGTAGCACATGAAAGATAGAGACTGGAGGATCAGAAGTTCAAAGCCATCCTCTGCTGTTGAAAGCCAGCCTGGGATACATGAGACTCTGTTTAAAATTGGGGGAAGGGACCTATAATAGAAGAGACCTATAGAAGGAGCTGTGCATAATCAGGGCCATTGGAAATAGCCAGAGGTTATCATCTGGCTTCCTTCAGAAGTCTGTTACGCTATCTGATGATTTCCATTTGTGGTGAACTTACCAAGCCTGGCTCTAGATTGAACAAGGTGGTAGGGAGTCCAATTTCTTCCTCCATTTGTGTTTATCCAGGCCTTACTACTCAATGGATCCCTACCCGAAGATGAACAGGAAAGACCCTTGGCACTCTGTGAACCAGGAGTCAATCCTGAGGAACAGCTGGTGAGCTCATGTTTGTGGCTGGTTACGAAGCCTGGCTAGTTTCCATTCCTGACCTCACCTTTTTTGAAATACTCTTTCCTGACTCCTGGAGTTTGTCTACCAGTTTTGGTTACTCCTTCCTAGTCTTCATTGATTTACTCAACAGATATCCAGCAAAGGCTGACTCTTTGAGTCAGACCCTGGTCCAAGGTGCTAGAGATATGGCATTGACCAAATATACCTAAGGCCCCATTCCCCTGCAGTTATAGTCCCCTGAAGTGTTTCTTTTCTCTATGGTATGATGCAGATGCACCTCGGTGCCTTGGACCAGTCTTGCACAGTCACTGGGCAGTGTCCTCTGCCTTCTGTGTCTTCACTCACTCTTCGTGTGCTTCTCCTAGATGGATTTCCAACCCACATCTCTCTACAGACTTGTAGAATTGTGCGTGCAACACGCACCTCAGTTTCAGTGGGTCCTCAACTAAGTATTTCTGTCTTCTACATAACCACTGGATCTATTTGTCCTTCTGTATGTTTGTTCGTATTTATTCATTTACTCGGATGCCCCAAAAAGAAACCTAGATATCATACCTGAATTCTTTTTGATCCTCCCCTCACATCCAGTGTCTCTATTTTCATGAGCACTACTTAGTGTGGGACTTTATCCAACATCCTAATAGCTTCCCAACAGGTTTTGCTGAATCTAGATTCTTCTAACCTCTTCTAGTTCCTTTTCAATAAAATTGCAAGAACAATATAAGGATAATTTCATTTTGTCTTCCCTTTGGATAAAAATATTCACTAATGGGACTGAAGAGATGGCTCAGTGATTAAGAGTACCCAGCACCCATGTCAGGTGGTTCCCTATAATCCTAGGGGATCTTTTACCTCTAGTCTCCTAGGCTACTACACCCCTATGCACATGCCCATAGGCAGATACACACAGATACACAGAATACAAATAAATACTTTTCAAAAACAAAAAATTACATTAATTCTCCATTGGCTTCATTGGCCCCTCATGGTCTGGCTCCCATTTCCATTTTCAACTTCATCTTTTCTTCCCTTGACGCCATCTCCTCCCAGTACACACACTTACCCTAAACTTCATTCATATGATTTTATGCCATGCATTTTGGCATATGCTTGCATCAGAGGCCATGTGTTCACAGCACAGAAGTGATTTCTAGTAGGTGCTCAGTGAGCATTTGTTGAATGAATTACAAGTGCATGACCATCTTCGTCTTATATTCAGATCATAATCCGAAGCCGTCTGGATCAGAGTATGGAGGAGAATCAAGACCTCAAGGTAAGATAGGACATGTACATTTTCCCCCTTTGAAAATAATTGTGGGAATATAATGTACCAGCTTTAGGACAATTCTGGGGAGGGAAAGTCATGCAGTGCCGGGGGAGGGGAAGGGTAGCTGAATCTTATCAGTGTTACGTCTTTCTTTGGAGGAGAGAGACACGTCTGAACTGTGTCACAGTGGTAACATCTTTTTTAATCTTAATGCTATATAGTAATTACCTGTGCTACTGGGGTGGTTACCTTTCTGTAAGTTTGAAATATTTCTATATTTCTGCTTCTTTTTTGGTTTTTTTCAAGACAGGGTTTCTCTGTATTGTTTTGGAGCCTGCCCTGGAACTCACTCTGTAGACCAGGCTGGTCTCGAACTCACAGAGATCCTCCTGCCTCTGCTTCCCGAGTGCTGGGATTAAAGGCGTGTGCCACCAGTGCAAGGCTCTATATTTCTTTTTTAACTGAGAGAAAACAATGAGTCTAGATTGGACATGGTGGTATATAAATTAGAGTCTAGCCTGATCTACATACTGAGTTCCAGGCCAATCAAAACTACATAGTCAGAACCTGACTCAAGAGAGGGGGAGGGTGTCAAATATTAGTGTGGTTCTTCTTTTATGAATATTTTCAAGAGTTCTTTTAGTTCAGTACTTTTGTTGTTGTTTTGGGGGTCATCTGCTTGTTTTAATTTTTGAGTTAGTGGCTGGGGCTATAGATCAGTGGTGGAGTGCTTGCCTATTATGGACAAAGTACTAATTTCAACCTCTAATCCCACAATAAAATAAAAAACAACATAAAAAAATTGAGTTCTAAGTGTGTAGCTAGGATGTATAGATCAGTGGTAGAGCACCATGACTCAGCGTATATCCCCATAAGTATGCTTGTGTGCATGCATATACACCCAGGCCTGCATTTTTAATAACTCTTGAGCCCATCTCTTGGAGGACAGGTTAAAACCCAATTTTCGATATGCTAATTATGAATTATTTATGTGACAAAATAGCTAAAGACTCAGGTCTCAATAACAGGCATTGCTTTCCTAAAATCCCTATTTTTATTTGCAGTCATCTATATGGAAATTTAATTACTCAGTTTGCTATTAGAAAACCAAATTCACTTTTGTTTGGACCACAAAGCACAATAGCCCCAGTCCACAAAGAACAAGAGCTCTTTGGAGAATCAGAAGCATGCCAGCCCTTTGTTGAAGTTAAACGAAATCGAAACAGTTATTCAACAACAGCAGGCATATCGCATATTTGAGTGGAGATGTGGATAAAGCTTTCCTGTTGGTGGAGATTGCTGCCATAGAGAGCCTGTGGGGCTGGATGGGGTGTCTTCTCTACCTGGGCAGCTCAGCGATGGGTGCCACAGAGGACAGAGGGGTCTTAGTCTTGTTTCCGAGGGTCAACCTTTACTGCTTTCAGGGCGACATCTGTCTGTGCCTCAGCTGATGGGTTAATCTTCATGGAATGGCCCACTGGGTTTTGTCTTCTTGCTGACAGAATGAGGTAATGCTTATGAAGCAACTCACATGCCACCATCTGATCTCACTATATTTGGTTTGTAGAAAGAGCTGCTGAAATGCAAACAAGAAGCCAGAAACTTGCAGGGGATAAAGGTAAAAGGAAGACATTGAATTCTTTCTTTTTTATTTTATTCTTTTGTAAGCCTCTCTGAGGTAGAGTGAGCTATCAGTTGAGTGTTGAAAGCCGGGTACTCCAGGGACTGTTGGGCTTCGCTAGGAGTCTTTAACAGGCTTGTGCTAGGAGTATAGGGAGGGCTCTGTGGTGGGTAGAGACATGCTGAGGGACACATCTTTGTTTTGCTGAGGCTTATGTCTCGTAGTTGTGACTCATGGTGCTGTCACTCGCCTCTGTGCCACCTTGATTTTCTCTGTGTGAAAGCACTCTTTCAGTTCAGAAGAATGCCCTTTTTAGGAAAAAAGAAAAAGGCGCAGTGTTGGAATGGTTAATAACATTCGAACAGTTTAGAGACACAAAAGGACCGACCAGAAAAGCTCTTCCATCGGCTCTGCTCCACCCCATCACCTCCCATCCAGTCCCACTGCCACCTCAACCAGTTTCGTACCCCTTGAGGCAACTTATCAGTCATCCAGTATGTCTATTTATTGTTTCCTCCCACTTTTCAACCCAAATAATAGTACACTGCAAACACAGCTCGGGGTGGTTTTTGTTTGTTTGTTTGTTTGCTCTATTTTGTTTTTCACTTAGCAGTGTGTTTGGGAGACTGTTCTATGGTAAAGACCATTTTGGGTCTTCTTTATACTTGTGTAATGTTCTTCCTTTAATTTTTTTATATTTATGGGTGTTTTGCCTGTGTGTATCTATGCCACTTGCATGCTTGATAACCAAGGAGGTCAGAAGAGGGTGATGGATCCCCTGGAACTGTGTTACAGGTAGTTGTGAGCCTCCATATGGTTCTGGGAATTGAACTCAGGTCCTTTGGAAGAGCAACCAGTATACTTAACAACTAAGCCATCCCTTTAGCTCTCATAATATTCCTGTTAATATATATTCTTGATTATATATATTTATGTTTAACCAGTCTCCTGTTGGTGGTACTTTAGACTAGCTACTTTGAGGGAGCTATTTGCTGATATATACAATGCTTGAGCTAATAACCTTGAATATGTGCTATTCACCCAAATGGGATTATAACATCTGAGTGTTTATCTAAAGCTCCTACTGTTCCCCTCTTTCTTGCACAAATTTTCATTGACTAACCAAGATTAACTCAGTAACATTTTCCAAAGCATCTTCAGTAACCTCAATGCTTTGAAATGTTTCAAAACAGAAATGTGCCCTTTGGTTAAATAAGTTTAAGAAATTCCCGATAAGCTTAAAGATTCATTGTAAATAATATCACATTGAAGGCTCTTAGAAGGTATAACATAAAGAGATTGTCCTGGGGATGGAGAAGTTGCTCATTGGTTAAGAGAGTTGTTGCTCTTCCAGAGGACCTGACCTCCACTAACAGACACACAGACACACACATGTGCACACTCTGCAAATAAAAATAAAAGCTTTGAAAACTGAAGACACTGCCTCAAAAACATTTAGAATAGCTGATCACAGAAGTTCCTCTTTCCCTAAGTCATCCTCTAACATCTATACCATGGAGTACACTTTGGAAAAATCCTAGGCTACAAATGTCAGGGACATCTTAGATTTCATCTGCCATGTACTGTCCCATCAGCTGGATAATTAAAAATGTGTTCTCTACTGGGCCTGGTACACACTTGTGATCCTACCACTTTGGAGGCTGAGGTAAGAAAACCAGGAATTCAAAACCAGTCTGTACTATCTAGAGCAGTAGTTCTTAACCTGTGGGTCACGACCCCTTTGGGTTGAATGACCCTTTCACAGGACTTGCCTAAGACCATCAGAAATATCAGATATTTACACCTTGATTCATAACAGCAACAAAATTAAGGTTAAGATATGGCAATGAAAGTAATTTTCTGGTTGGGGGGTCACTACAACACGAGGAGCTGTATTAAAGGGTCCCAGCATGAGAAAGGTTGGGAACCACTGTTCTAGGAAATGGGGACTGGACACAGAGAGAAGAAGGTGCTAAGCCAGGTGAAGTATTTATATACTCAAGAGGTAGACAAGAAAACCAGGCCAGCGGAGGAGGATCAAGGTCAGTGTCCTCCAGATTGGATGTGATGGATGTTCAACATGGATCTAGGTCTGTCTATCTCAAAAGCTACCCACTCCTTGTCTGATTAGGACACCATGATCCCAGGGATGAACTCTGGGTGAGGGAAAAGCAGGTTTCTCTCAGTACAACAATGGATGTGATTTTCCTGTAGATGACAGTGTCTTGGGAGAGGAGAGAAAACTCTCTACCCAGGTCCTGGTGGAAAGGTCCTTGTTATTCCTTTCATCCCCCAGTTTGACAGAACTGATGCTAAATACACAGTGAGGAGTTCAGTAAGAAGTACTATCTGGCTGGGTGATGAATTAAGGCTGAATAGTGTGTGTCCTTATTCCCCTAGGATGCCTTGCAGCAGAGGCTGACTCAGCAGGACACATCTGTTCTTCAGCTCAAGCAAGAGCTTCTGAGGGCAAATATGGACAAGGATGAGCTGCACAACCAGAATGTGAGTTCATGTGTGAACAGTGACCTCAGCCCGTTAGTCACATGAGATGCTGCGTGAAGTGCTGTTCAGGCTGCCCTTGTAGTCTCTTTATTTTATTCCTGGGCGCCTACCTTCTGTGTCTATAGTTGTTTTTATTCCCGTGAGACTCATTTCTGGTCTTAAGTCACAGAACCTAAGCCTACAGCGCCCTGGATGGTCCTTGACTTGGCTTGGAGAACACAAAGGCCAAATAGTGTTTTTACCATCTGTGTAAATGATGTGGAGAGCTGGTGTGTGTTTTAGTCCCAGCCTGCCCTCTCTGTGTGTATACTTTAACTGGTGTTAATTCTTGTTACCTCATGGTTGGTTTCCTTAAGGGTTAGTATACAATACCTCCATGCCACTAAGTTCTTTCTGCCCTTCGCAGGTGGATCTGCAAAGGAAGCTCGACGAAAGGAACCGGCTATTAGGAGAATATAAAGTAAGAACTGCCCTCCCAGTGACCTTTTGTGAGTAGCCCGTGTTAGCTGGTGCTCAAAGAGCACTTCCGTTTTCAGCTCTGTCTTCTCTCTGGTAGGAAAACTTTCTGTTAGCTCTGACGTGCAGCTAGCATAGCTTTGGAAAGGAGCATAGCTCGGGATTTGGGAACAGTCGGTGGCAGGCTCACCTCCATCTCAGGAGCAAGAATGGCCCATAGCAGACATTCTCCCCAGCTTGCCTTTCTAAGAATCCTGGCACCGTGTAAGACTGTTAGAGTGTCGAAGCCTTCCAGGTATAGCGGGAGGAAAGCTTGTGTCCCTGAGGCTCTTCTTTTCACAGGCAGCTTGCACAGAGTGAGCCACTTGCTATACTTGTGTTTGCCACACCTCTGAGAGCTTATCTCCCTTGCAGAAAGAGCTGGGCCAGAAGGACCGTCTCCTTCAGCAGCAGCAGGCCAAGTTGGAAGAAGCGCTCCGGAAACTTTCAGATGCCAGCTACCAACAGGTCAGGATACGGTAGTCACTGACCTGCCTGGCCCCTTGGCCTGAGGGAAACACTTTCCTGATTTGATCTGTCTTCCAGGTGGATCTAGAATGGGAGCTAGAGCACAAGGATGTCCTTCTGGCTCACTGCATGAAAAGAGAGGCAGATGAGGTAACCCAGAACTTGGGTTTTCCTTCTCACGTGACATGACCAAGTTTGTTAGGATTCTATAGCGAGGGCATTGAGGGCCACTCTCAGGGCCTGGGTATGTAGCTCAGTGCTGGAACACTTACCTAGTGTGTTCAAGGTTCCAGCTTCACTCTCCAGCACAGAGCAGGCAGGGTGGGGTGGTCCTTAGCATCTAACATTTACAAATGAAATATGAAAACAACAGTGACCCTCTCTGTTATAATGAAGAGTATTAAATTACACATGAGACTGAATACAGTCTTACTAATTCTACTTAGCACAGAGTCAGATTAGAGATACATGTGTTCTAGGCCGGGCAGTGATGGCACAAGCCTTTAATCCCAACACTCAGAAGGCAGAGGCAGGAGGATCTCTGTGTGTTTGAGGCCAGGAGTTCTAGGACAGCCAAGACTACACAGAGAAACCCTGTCTCCAAAAACAAAACAAAATAAAAACCGATAACAACAAAAAAGATACACATGCTCTTGTATTCTTGATTACTTAAAAAGTACTAAAGTGTCTGTGGGCTTCCAGGCCAAGGTCTATCTCATTCATCCTGCATTGGAAATGCCCGCAAAGTGTCAGCTGCAGCCTTGATACAGCAGTGAGGAAAAGAGAGACCACATCTCCACTCATTCTCTAAAAATGTTTTTTCATTTGGGATGTGTGTGTGTGCTCACACGCGTACACACGTGCACTCGCAGGCATGTGCACACATATGTGTGCACACCAGGTCTCATCTTCAACCTGACTGAGGCAGGGTCCCTCGTGAGCTGCATAGTCTAAACTAGCTGACCCATGAGCTTCTGGGGGATTGTCCTGTCTCTAACTCTCACCTCACTGTAGAAGTGTGAGGTTTATATATGTACATTGTTTCATCTGGCTTTTTACATGGGTTCTTGGAATCAAACTCAGGCTGTTTGGCGTGTGGGGCAAACACTTTTACTCACCGAGCCATATCTCCAGCCTCCACACAACACTTCTAATGTAAGTAGTAAACTAGGAAATAGTTACATGCTATATCAGAAGGGAGGAGTGCAAAGAAAAAGATGTCTCGGTTTGCAATTATCCTGTTAACAACTGTCATTTCTTCTTGATGCTCTAGGTGACAAATTACAACAGTCACAACTCTCAACGCAATGGCTTTGTCCTTCCAGTTGTGGGGAGAGGTGCTGCGTCTGTCACCCATAGAGGGGTAGGTTTCTATGACTTGAAAACAAGCTGAAGTGAGAACAGTGCCCAGCCATCACCAGCGGGCTAAGCTTTATGTGCTCTAGGCCTTTGATTCTTGCAACTGATGGTTGTATACAGATGAAGACATTCGGTTACCAAAATTAAAAGTCAGTTTTTAAACTTAAGAGTTCATGGGGACTGGAGAGATGGTTCAGCAGTGAAGAGTACTGACTGGTCTTCTAGAGGTGGAACCACATGGTGGCTCACCACCATCTGTAATGGGACCTGGCACCCTCTCCTGGGCTGCAGGCACACATGCAGACAGAACACTGTATAATAAATAATACATATTTAAAAAAGAAATTAAGTCTTAAAAAAAGAGAGGCAGATTTTCCTCCACAGAACTCAAGCCTCTGCACTAGGAACTTTTCCTTTAGTCCTCTTTAGCCCAGCAGCTGGGGCAGGGATAGATGGGAATATGGCACTGCACCCTCCTACCAGCACTTTCCTTTCAGCCACAGACCAGTGACCTCCAGCTTGTCCGGGATGCTCTCCGCAGCCTGCGTAACAGCTTCAGTGGCCACGATCCTCAGCACCACACCATTGACAGCCTGGAGCAGGGAATCTCTAGCCTCATGGAGCGTCTCCATGTCATGGAATCACAGAAGAAACAAGAAAGGAAGGTAATGATGCTATTTCTTGCTTAGGCAAGCTCCTGGGGTAGCCTGGTCTCATGGGTCTTCCTTTATATGAAGGCAGCAGCAAATAACAACAATAATAATAAATTTATGACCCTGAGGGCTCTAGTTGGGCTTCTTGGGGGCTTCTGTCGCAGTGGAGCTGACTGTTGGATGAGGTATGACATCCAGGGAAGGAATGTGTGGTAACTTGTGCTCAGCAGTTGTGTAGCTGTGTAAGGAATTGTGGTTCTGAGTCCCCAGGATCCCTGCTGCTTATTCTCCTTCCCTCCCTCCAAGAGGAGCTGACTCTGGATGAGAAAACGCATGGGAAGTGTGCTGGAGACTAGAGAGCCTTTTGTAGCTGTGCGTGCTATATAATTTCGTTTCCTTTCCTGTTTTAAATTTTTGGGTAAATCCTTCCATTGATAATAAATAATTCTTGACGTCATTATGACTTTGCAGGTTCGGGGCAGGTCACTCAGAACTCAAGCAAGTAGTGAGTACCGGGCATCCTGGCCCCCTAATTCAAGTAAGTACTCAATACCACTAAGTAAAGGTGTCTGGAATAATAGAATAGAAATTTGGTTTTCTCCTCCTCCTCCTCCTCCTCCTCCTCCCCCTCCTTCTCCCTATCCTCCTCCCCCTCCTCTTTTGGTAGCATTCAGAGTACCTTTCTGTACTGCAGATACTAACTAGCACCCACATAGGGGTGAAAGCTCCATGTAGACACCAGCTTGACTTCTCCACACAGTGCAGGCGATGTCTTCAGCAAGGATGCCTTGCTGTCAGTTTGTGGAGAGCAATCTATAGTCTTGGCAACAGCCTGGGTTATTTGGGGTTTCCCACGGGACCCCTTTGGCCAACAACTCACTTAAATATAACCCAATCCTAGTGTTGGTGGCAAGAGATGTCCAATTGGGACTCTGTCAATTTCATTTAAATTATATTCATAAACGTGTGTATTAGAGAGTTTTTCATATTTGGTGTTCATACTACTCCTCAAATGGTCCTAATTTTAGCTGTCTTTCCCTGTATTCCCTCCCTTGTTGTCCTCTCCCCTCCTCCTCACTTGGTCCTTCCATTCCAGCTCCCCACATCCATCCATAACTATCTAGTCTATTTCCCTTTTCTAAGGAAATCTATCTGCCTCCCCCCAGCCCCTTTCTCTATTCCTAACCTCTGTGGTTGTACGTTTTGTGCCTTGGTTATCGTTGGCATAACAGCTAATATGCATATATAAGGAAATACATACCATATTTGTCTATGCACTGTCTTAGTGTTTCTATTGCTGCAATGAAACACCATGACCAAAAAAGCAAGTTGGAGAGGAAAGGGTTTGTTAGGCTTATACTTCAGCATTGCTGTTCATCATTGAAGGAAGTCAGGACAGAAACTCAAACAGGGAAGGATCCCAGAGTAGTAGCTGATGCAGAGGCCATGGAGGGGAACTGCTTACTGGCTTGCTTTCAACCCACCTTCTTATAAAACCCAGGACCAGCAGCCCAGGGATGGCACCACCCACAATGTGCTTGGCCCTCCCCCACCGTCACTAAATGAGAAAATGCCTTACAGCTGGGTCTCAAGTTTCTCAGCTGAGTGAGGCTCCTTCCTCTGATGACACACAAAACCACCCAGTACAGCACATATTAGTGTATACACACCATATTTGTCTTTCTGGGCCTGGGACGCCTCACTTGGTGATTTTTTTTTCTAGTTCCATCTATTTACCTGTGAATTTCATGATTTCATTCTTTTTAATGGTTGAATAATACTCCATTGTGTAAATGTACCGTATTTTTTAAATCCATTGTTCTGTTGAGGGGCATCTAGGTTGATTCCAATTTCTGACTATTGTAAATGGAGAAACAATGAACATGGTTGAACAAGTGTCCTAGTGGTAGGATGAAGTGTCCTTTGGGTCTATGCCCAAGAATGTTGTAGCTGGGTCTTGAGGTAGATTGATTTCCATCTTCCCGAGGAGCTGCCACACTGATTTCCATGCTGGCTGTGCATGTTTGGTCTCCCCAGCAGCAGGTGAGTGCTTCCCAGACTCCACGTGCTCATCAGCATGACCTGTCACTTCATTGGTTCTAGGATGTAAGATGAAATCTCAAGGTAGTTCTCATGTGCATTTCCCTGATGGTTAAGAATGCTGAACATCTCTTTAAAGTGTTTCTCAGCTGTTGTTTTTATCTAAGTTGTTCTATTACCCATAAATACTCCGGAGTCGAATATTGGGGTGAAAACCTGATAGATCAAAGAATCAGAGGAGGATTGGCCAGGTGACCCCGCAAGTGCCTCTTTCCATGTGTCCCAGATCAAAGAGACCACAAAAATTCTAAGTCCCTCCCTACTCCTTCCTGTGTGTCTTCTCTATCTGTATTCCTGGCTGCTGTATGGCTAATTCTAGTCACGGGCTACTCCCCCGATTCAAGGTTAACTTTATTAACACAGTCTTGGGGAGTCACGTGCAGTCCAATATCCTGTAACACTGAGCCATTTGAATTTTCTCTTTAGAGAATTCTCTGTTTGGATTTGTATCTCATTTGTAGTTGGGTTATTTTCTTGATATCTAATTTTTGTGTTCTTTATATATTTTGGATATTAGTACCCTATCAGATGTGTAGTTAGTAAAAATCTTCTCATACTTTGTAGGCTGCTGTTTGTCCAAGTGATGGTGTCCTTTGCCACACAGAAACTTTTCAGTTTCATGAGGTCCCATCTGTTGTCAATCTTAGTGCCATGCTGCTCGTGTTCTGTTCAGGAAGTCGTCGTTTGTGCCAATGCGTTCGAGGCTCTTCCCCGCCTTCCCTTCTGTCAGGCTCAGTGTACCTGGCTTTATGCTGAGGTCTTTGATCCATTTGGAGCTGAGTTCTGTGCAGGGTGAGCTGTGTGGATCTGTCTGGATTCTTCCACACGCAGCTCTTCACATTGACCACCACCATTTGTTGAAGATGCCGTCTCTTTTCTAATGTGTATTTCTGGCTTTTTTTTTTTTTTATAAAAAATCAGGTGTTCATAGGATGTGGATTTATGTCTGGGTCTTTAATTTGATTCCATCGATCAATGTGTCTGATTTTGTGTCAATTACAAACTTTGTTATTTTCATACTTCCAGTCTCTGGGTCGATTTTTTTGTGTAGTTTCACTTTTATGATTATGAGAAAACAAGAGTCATATTATCTCTAGGATTATGAGGACTCATGACATCACCACCATCAGCCATATGGAGGATGTTGCTGATGTGGGCTGAAATATCTGGAAACTATGCAAAATTCAAAACATTCATGCTGAATAAACCATAAAGATATATATATCACTCTAGTTTCAAATAGCACACACATACACACACACACACACACACACACACACACACACAAATTCTGCTTTTTCTGATTGGCACAAAAACAGACACATTGGTCAATGGAATTCAATATCTTTGGGGACTGTCTTTAATACTTTACGTAGAGTCCAGGTCATTCATTTAAGGCCTGCTAAACTTGCACCACCTAGTGGCCATGAGTAGAAAGTGTGTTTGAACCAGCTCCTGTACAATCATCCATTTTCCTCTGCTTGGTTCAACTAGAAAGCTGCTCCATCTGGCCATTCTCACTGTAGTAGACATTTTGAGTCTTGGTTCAGCAATGTTTGAATTTTATTCTTTTTTTCTTTTACCTAGGCCCATTTTTAAAGAATTCCTACAATTCATATGAAGATCAAATAGCTGACTAGAACAAGTTTTTTTCTTATGTGTACAATTTTGTTTTCCTTTCCCTTCCTACATGTATAAGTGTTTTACCCGCAGTACAACTGTGCACCACTCGGGTGACTAGTGCCTGTGGAAGCCAGGAGAGGGCATTCATTCCCCTGGAACTGGAGTTAAAGTTGTGAGCCACCTTGTGAGTTTTGGGAATTGAATGCAGGTTCCCCAAGGAGCAGTCAATGCTCTTAACTATAGAGCTATTTCTCCAGTGAATGTGTAGAGTTTCTGAAACCATAAAAAAGCTGGGAATGGTAGCACATGCCTATTGGGAGCTTGAAGCAGAAGACTGTAAACTTGAGACCAACTATAGTGAGTACCAACTGAACAAAAAGTTAAATTGTTTCAAAGGACTTCTGAAAAAAAGATTCTGAAGTTAATTTTTGAGCTAAAATAATTGGTTTCCCTCTTAGCATCATCATCTCACTCAAGGAAATGTTACGATCAGAAATTTGGGACTATTTGCTCTATAAAAATTTGCACATTTCATACTTGTATAAATATTTTAAGGGTTTTACTCTGTGTTTTGTTTAATTTGTTTTGTTTATTGAGACAGAGTCTCATGTAAACCAGGCTAACTTCGAACTAGCTATCTAGAATGTGACCTTGAATTCCTGATTCTCCTTTACTTCCCAGGTGCCAGGATTACTGTTGTATATGTAGACCAGTTAGTGTTCTCAATCTTCCTAATTCTATGACCCTTTAATACAGTTCCTCATGTTGTAGTGGCCCAACCATAAAATTATTTTCATTGCTACTTCGTAGCTGCAATTTTGCTACTGTTATGAATCATAATATAAATATCTGATATGTGGATGGTCTCAGGTGGCCCCTGTAGAAGCCCCCAACGGGGTCATGACCCATAGATTGAGAACCACTGGTATAGACCTATGTAGACCAAGCTGGCCTCAAACTCAGAGAGATCTTCCTGCCTCTACCTCCTAATTGCTGGAGTTAAAGCTATGTACCACCATGCATCATTAGAGTTTTAGAATTATCCTCTTGGACACCTTTTCAAGGTTAGCATGAACTGCCAATGTAGAAGTTCTAAATTCTTGAAAAAAATTTTCGAAACAATAAACTACTTCCTCCCTATACCAATTCCTTCATGCATATATAGTACTATTCAACTTAGTTCACAGTGGGCTTGTGTATTAACCAGAACTTCCAGGGGCACCCATTTTCACAAACAGGCCAGCATGTCCCCTCATTTCATCAAATCTAAAAACCTCTGTAACTGTGGAGGCCCTTTATTTATTCATTCATTCATTCATTCATTCATTCATTTGTTTATTTCTTTTGGTTTTTAGAGACAGAGTTTCTCTGTATTCCTTTGGAGGCTGTCCTGGAACTCGCTCTGTAGACCAGGCTGGCCTCGAACTCACAGAGATCTGCCTGCCTCTGCCTCCCAAGTGCTGGGATTAAAGGCATGGGCCACCAACACCTGGCCTGTGGAAACCCTTTAACTACAGACTTCTGAGCAGGTCTATATTTACTCTTTCCTTTTTTTTTTTAAATACCGATTATTTATTTATTTATTTAGTGTGTGTGTGCGTGTGCACACTCTCTCTGGTTGTGTCTTTCCTTTACCACCAAATCCAGTTCATTCTTACTCTACTCAATTATTCCTTGTATCCTCACTGTTGAGTTGTAGGTGACCTTCTCATTATGTAGTCAAGTGGTTGTGTCTCAAGCCTTGCCTTCCATTGTCTTTTCAAATGCTTTTAAACACTCTGGAGCAGTCTGATGGAAACAGTCCCCACCATCAGG